ATTATTATTATTAATATGTTATTTTTTATTATCCGCGAATGTTAGCAACTGGACAAATTTAATGCAGCGGTCAAGGAAAAGCGACCAGAATTGGTCAATCGTAAAGGTGTCATTTTCCAGCAGGACAATGCTAGGCCACACACATCTTTGTCCACTCGGCAAAAATTGGTGGATATTGGTTGGGAATTGATGTTACACCCACCATATAGCCCTGATCTCGCGCCATCGGATTACCACTTATTTCGATCCCTGGACAACTCCCTTCGTGGTAAAACTTTGAACGATGATGACGCTGTAAAATCTCACTTAACTCGGTTTTTGGCCGAAAAGGATCAGACTTTCTACGAGCGTGGAATTTTCAAGTTGTCTGAGAGATGGCAAAAGGTCATCGAACAAAATGGAAAATACATTGCAGATTAAACTTCGTTCCAAGTAAAACAAAATTTTTTATTTCATTGAACAAATCGGCAATTACTTAGCTGCCAAGCCAATATATTTTGTATTATATTATATGAAATTCTTTGGTGAGATACTTTAATAAAAGTATCAATTTTCGTCGGTCCCAAAGAAGTTTCAACGATTATTAGGCTGCAGATTTTATGGCTTTAAGGGAAGCATTATTTCCTTAAATTACGAGACAGATTAGGAGAATCGATTTATATCGATTAGATCAACTTAAATTTCTGAAAGTTGTTTACCCATCAAGTGCTAAACTCGAATTTGGCTGGCGATGCATAGTGGACGAAATGACCGACTTAGATAAACAAACATGAAAAAGCTGACTATCTCAAACCGTCATAAAATGATCGCTAATCGTTTATATAGGTTCTACATGACTCGGAAGCACTAAAATTTTACTCCACAATTTCTTTATTAGGGCAGTATTCTTAATATAGAGTAAGATGTACAGTGACTCTCGTTAATATTCAGACACTTTTCAAAACGCAATAAGTTTTTTGAGAACTGGACTAAACGACTTAGATTTTCTTCTAGATTTTCTTTTTATTTCAAATAGAAAGGAATTCCGTTGTGCTTTCAATTGTTTTTGCCTTCGATCATTTTAGTAGCATCCGCGACAGGGAATTGTGCAGTTTTTGACAAGATTAGTAGTCATATACCAGGTAAATAAATATTTCGCAGCCACTATCTCCTGGTCAAAATGGAAAATACATTGCAGATTAAACTTCATTCCAAGTAAAAATAAATATTTTATATTTCATTGAACAAATCGGCAATTACTTAGTTTGTCAACCCAATAGAATATCAGTTTGCTTTTCAAACGGTGTGTTCTTCAAAGTCGACCACAACTTCAATCATTTTTCCCTAATTCGCGCTCAGATTGCGCACAGAAATGGACAATTTGGGAAGAGGAGGTGCGATTATTCGAGTTTTGCGTCTCGTTCCTATAGTTCTTGACAATCGGTTACTATAAAAACGAGCCGCAACGCTCGAATGGTCGTACCTTTTTGTACGCAATTTGAGTGCAAATTAGGGAGAAATTGCTGTACTCGAAGATTCATACGGGGCCCAGCAGATCCTCGGTTATCCGACTATCCTGTCCTATCTCTTCGTTATCTGAACTGCAGAATGATATTTAACCGTGTCACGCACTATCAACCTGCACGCGGCCTGCTCTCCACACAATCACATTTTCGAATATACGCGTTGTCAGTTCGTTCTCATTCCGCTTGCTCCTTGAAAACCAGTTTCCTTTTACAACTTTCGCTTCCGTTCGTAACTAGACTTTCCCAAAATTGGCGACTTCTCGCACAGTAAATTGATTAACATTGATGTAGTAGTGCTCGGCAGACCTGAAGTTTTGCACTATATCCGATTTTATTGGATGACGAGCATACACCTGTGAAGTATTTTCGATCGTCGCTTAAGACTATCTCGTCACAAAATACAAAATTAGCATAACAATGGCGACGAGTATGTTCGGAAATTCGTTTTCGTGGAGCGAACGAGTGCGTCTAACTTTTATAACTTTTTAAACGAAGAACGGTATATGTCTTGATAAACGTCTGTTATGTTGGCGACACAAGATTATTATGTAAAGCATTGCTTCGGGGAATTTTCGCTCTCTTCTCGTAAAAGTGTTGCAACCGGTGAAAAAATGAACAAAAAGATCCTGTCGGAGCACTTATTTGTGCGAATGCAATGAGAGGTTACTGCTAAAGAAATTTGACGAGTAATTTATTTACAGAGCAAAGACAAACGATGGATACTATGTTCAAGTTATCGAGAATTGAACTATGATCGATTAAGTGTTCAAATAATGAAATGTATGCTATTGTTAAACCTCGTTAAATGCCATTATTTGTTTCTATAAAATCGTAAACCCAAGTTCGATGAACATGATTCTTTCGATTATTTTGTTTCTACGAGACATAGAATTGTTAATACTATTTACATGCTAAAAGATCTTAGTGTAAAAACCTTAGGGGTTTGAAAGGAATTAGCGTGGTTATCGCGTACTTACGATTTGTAACACTCTTCGATTATTAACACAGAAAGAAATCTACAGAACTCGGCGATATGCAGAGAAAGGCCGTCGCATGACCGCGTTTCTTTAGCAACACATCAACAATATCAGGAAAACGCACCGCACTCTTAATTATAACCGCGTTTGCTATATCTATCGCGATCCCCACTTCCAAGCGCTCTTATGCTACGTTACTGTTGTAGCAATGAAATAGCGGCTGAAATGAAATATTTCATGCTCCACCTACATTATAGTTAAATACCAGATTTAGTCATTACTGTAGCAATACTGCGCCACGACTTTTTACGAACCTTGGAAATGATAGCAGTAAAAAAGAGTTGCATCCATTCCAGTTTAGATAGCATTCATTTTGATAGGGAAGTAAATAAGCTACTATTTAATCATTACTACTGTTGAGTGAGTACTATATCATTTTTCTATGTCTGAACGCAAATAAGATGACTAGACGTAATTTGCAACTTTTATTCTTATTACAATTCTATTTACTTTCTTTACATTCTTTCTTACATTTTTTTTGTGCAATATGTTGCATTTCAGAAGGTCCTCAAAAAATATATATATATATGGAAATATAAATATAATATAAATAATAATATAATAATAATAATATAAATATATATATATATAAATATAATATAAATAATAATATAATAATAATATATAATATTTCACACATTTTCGATTTAGATTTTGATATTTTTGTATGAATACAGGAAATTCTCCTTAATTGTCCCTGTTAGAAGCCTGCTTATGTTATCCCTGTGCTACAGTGAAAAGAAAATGGACTATTTGAGAAGAGGAGATATGATTATTCGAGTATCAACTCAATTCATAATAATTTTTAATTTTAACAATTTAAAATTGATTTTCTTTTTAACACATTGCTGATAGTTTTCTTATCAAAATGAGACTAAACTTGATACAGTTTGGACAGACATTTCTAATTACATAAATTCGAATTACATCAATCACAATGTAATTGATTAAATATGGTCTAAACGTGTCGTGTTTGGTCTCATTTTAATTGGAAGAATCTGACCAATGTGTTAAAAATATTTTCATGTATTTAAAACTAGAAATGAAAAAAGTTAAGTTTGTATTCTAGCATTATTCCAGCCAAAAAGAAGTTCCTTCAGAATACACGGTAAAGGCAAAGCTTTAGAGATTTGTTGGACGTCGATGTGTATAATAAACATTTGTAAATATTAAAACAATTGCTTATATACAGATATAATTTACTTATTTGTAGACGATAACATCCAAGGCGCATGCAAAGTATAGAAACGGAAACACATGGAAAACGTCATCATTAATGAATCCAGTCGCGAGTGACCCAACCGTTGATGCGACACTGAACTTCAAACAGAAGAAGAAGAAGAAGAGGAAGAATTACGTAATCAAAACAGAAAATCCGCAACTAATGAAAGAGAATCCCTTTGTATTTGCCTTACGCTTCAATAAACTTATTAAAAAGTTTTAATGAAAGTGATCGAAAGATGACTTTTAAACATATTCATAACGTGTCCGAATCTCTAGAATTCTGCATACTTGAAGTTCGATCACTATTTGAATACTATTGCAACGAAGTTATCTTAAGATTTCTTTTCGCATACAGATGATAAACGTCATCGAGCGAAACATGTGTATTCATGCTTATTTAAGAATTATAGCCTCGATGTGGGTTATCGTCGTCTAACCGTTTGGCTGCTGTTAAGTAGCTTCTAATTTGTTAGTCAGTATAATTCATGGATATATGTACATTTTACTTATACAATACTTATTTCTTGAATTCTATTCTATTATATTATATTATATTATATTATATTATTATTATATATTATATATATTATATAATATCTGTCTCTTATACACATCTAGATGTGTATAAGAGACAGATATTATATAATATATATAATATAATATAATATAATAGAATAGAATTCAAGAAATAAGTATTATATAATATATATAATATAATATAATATAATAGAATAGAATTCAAGAAATAAGTATTATATAATATATATAATATAATATAATATAATAGAATAGAATTCAAGAAATAAGTATTATATAATATATATAATATAATATAATATAATAGAATAGAATTCAAGAAATAAGTATTATATAATATATATAATATAATATAATATAATAGAATAGAATTCAAGAAATAAGTATTATATAATATATATAATATAATATAATATAATAGAATAGAATTCAAGAAATAAGTATTATATAATATATATAATATAATATAATATAATAGAATAGAATTCAAGAAATAAGTATTATATAATATATATAATATAATATAATATAATAGAATAGAATTCAAGAAATAAGTATTATATAATATATATAATATAATATAATATAATAGAATAGAATTCAAGAAATAAGTATTATATAATATATATAATATAATATAATATAATAGAATAGAATTCAAGAAATAAGTATTATATAATATATATAATATAATATAATATAATAGAATAGAATTCAAGAAATAAGTATTATATAATATATATAATATAATATAATATAATAGAATAGAATTCAAGAAATAAGTATTATATAATATATATAATATAATATAATATAATAGAATAGAATTCAAGAAATAAGTATTATATAATATATATAATATAATATAATATAATATAATATAATAGAATTCAAGAAATAAGTATTGTATAAGTAAAATATATTATATAAGTATAAATATATATTGTATAAGTAAAATGTACATATATCCATGAATTATACTGATTAACAAATTAGAAGCTACTTATATATATATTGTATAATATATTATATGATATAATACAAGTGTGCTATCATATTCCAAAAACATTAAAGTCATATACGAATTCATTGTTTTACAAAAAATCGGTTGACTTTCGATCGCATAAAGTTTTGCCATTCATTAATATAGAAAAATGCTTCCCACGCCGGATGTATAACATTTAAATCGATGCACAGGCTGCTTATCGACATTTCCATTGCATCTCCCTGTGCGGAACGGCATTGCACAGATATACAAGATAAACTGCTGCAGCTTGTTGAGAAATACAATAATCTTAACGATGCAACTGCAGAGACGTAAGTCAAACCAAACATTTACGAAATATGTAACGCCTTACATAATTCACGTTTCGAGATTGTGGCCGGAGATAGGGCTGGCTGCATAAAGGTTAAAAAGTTAAATCCGGATAGATTGGAGCTTAGATTACTGATATCGTGAAAGACCTCTACAAATCAAATTTAAAATAAATCACTACGATAGAAATCGGATAATAAAGTCACAAATAGTACTATCTGCGATTGATAAAAGCAGCGTATCTGCAGCTGGTGCACTCAGACATTTTTCCGTGATTTCGTATCGGTTGAAATACTTATATTTTTGTATTCACACCCTGAACTAAGATAACTGAAGCTACAACCGCAACAATGACGATGCACAGTGGGCAAAAAAACAGCCAAAAGGCGACCGAGATACCATTTTCTGAGGTAATGGATATCAATTGTATGAATATTGTAATACCATTAGTTAACGCCTCAAAGCGTAAGCAACAATAAAAATTTGTCAGAAGAACTGGTCTCAAAGCTGTTAAAATCAAATCGTGACGAACGAATTCGAAAAATCTTTAGTTTGTAAAGAGGATTTTTTAAAAAATCGCCCTTTTCTGTAGAAATAATTCATTTTTTTCATGAATTTCTGAACAATTTTATTTGAACAAAAAATTTTTTTGGAGATACAATGGGACAAACTGGTAGCACATTTTACTAAAAATTATGCATAGCAATAAATCAACGAATAATATGTACATAATGCTTAATATTTATTATATAATTATAATAAAAAATATAATTATTTATATAATATTGTGGCTCTTCTTTCACATCCAATAACAGGCTTCATTCTCTTCGGCAAAGATTTATATATTTTTTAATAGCTCTAATTGCCGTCACTCATCTCGAATACACTTTGTCAATTCGACAATGTTACTAAACTGTCTATCATTCTTATATAAAGCTCGGCCAGGATATCCTCAACAATTTTCATCAAATTAAAAATTTAATGCATGTTTTTTAGCACAATCTTAGGTAGGATAGCTCTATCTGTCAAAATTCAAATTGATAAGACATTGCAGTGCAATTTAGGAATTTTATTGCTAAGTTAGCCTGAGCTGTCTCAATAAATATGTTCTAAATAAGAGGAAAATCATATTCAGAATACA